GAAGGAAGGAAGGAAGGAAGGAAGGAAGGAAGGAAGGAAGGAAGGAAGGAAGGAAGGAAGGAAGGAAGGAAGGAAGGAAGGAAGGAAGGAAGGAAGGAAGGAAGGAAGGAAGGGAGGGGGGGAGGGGGGGAGGGGGGGAGGGAGGGAAAGATACATCTGAGACATCAAATATTCTTTTTCATCAAATGAAACCTCAACATTCTTCAGATGCAGAACTGTTGGATAGAAGCCATGGTTTCCATCAAAAGAAAGAATGTTCTGGCCAACCGGAGATGTAAAAGAGAAGCATTTTATTTTTAGTGCTTCCATAATACCCAGATTTAGAGAGGGACATGCTCAGAAAGGCTGTAAAACAGTGTGTTTCTAGGGTGATCAGAGAGTGATTCCATGGGTAGAAAAATGATTTATTAGATTCAGCAAAATGTATGAAAGATCCTCAATGTCATATTCCTTACAGTGATAGAAAGTCTGATTCTATTGCTGACGTAGCTCTAGGTTAGCTGAGTTATGTCACTGTTCACATCTCACAAAGCAGAAATACATCTCTGCATGACGTGGATAATGTCTGCCCTGGGCTCATGGGATAACAGGGAACAGACAGGGCAGTGTGGCTGTGTGTTGTGTTATTTTTTGTGTCTGTGACATGAAGATGAATGGCCACTCCCTGAAGGTCCCTTGGAACAGAGCTGGCGTATCTCAGGAGAGGGCTCTCCCAAGCTCACCTCTTTATAGTGGCAGCTCCTGCCGATGGAAATTGTCACTGGCTGCTGGCAGATGCAGGAATTAAATACAGGTGTTTGCTTCTCTTGTTCTGTTTACTTACATGCCTGGCTCAGCCTGAGGATCATTATGCACCATGAGCGCTTCAGATTTTGAACCTCTTTCTTCTCAAATTAAATGTTTCTGATTCAGTTATCTTCAACCATTGTGACTGAAGTAGAATGAAAACAACCACCATCATGTGGTCTGTGTCCATTAACTCCCACAGCAAAACACCCCTTCTGCCTGCTCTGACAGCTGATGGGTTCCAGGTGTTTGGAAGCACGGTTCCACTTCACCAACATGCTAGAGACAAGTTTTGGTGTAGAAGAGGTGTCAGTGTAATCAGGATGGAGCTAGGATCCATCCCATCCCCTTCGTCTGTTGCACCTAGAAGGGAAGCTCATCCAGGGGTGATGCAGGCAACAAGGCTCACTGCGGTGTAATGCCCTGGTTGTGGACTTGTGTTGAGGGACAGTTTTCATTGTTCACCTGTAGACATTCCTTCCTCCTTTTTCTTCTTCTAGGAAAGGTGTTTGCTATAAGCGTTGCTTTGGATCTGTGTTGGATGGTCTGACCTGGAAAAGGAATCTACCATTACCTTCCATGGTTATATCTGAGAAAAGAACTTTCTTTCAGTCACTGGATTACAGAATCACAGAACCATAGAATGGCCTGGGTTGAAAAGCACCACAATGATCATTTAGTTTCAACCCCCCTGCTATGTGCAGGGTCGCCAACCACCAGACCAGGCCGCCCAGAACCACATCCAGCCTGGCCTTGAATGCCTCCAGGGATGGGGCATCCACAACCTCCTTGGGCAACCATTTGGAAAGGTTTGTAAGGATTAATTGTAAAGACCTCATTATTTGTAAAGATCATAAAAGATGAAGTTGGGGGAAGGTCAATAAGCACTGCAGGAAATCTTGGGCTGAACTCGAGATCCTGCTGGCATTCACATGGGGCTGGCAAAAAATTGAAGTCAATTCTTTACTTGGCAAAATTGGAACAACTGGCATCAGGGCGTTGTGGCTTTGACCACCACTAGTCTTCAGGGAAGGAAAGGTAAGGGTAAAGATATTCTTAGCGCCCCTCACCCAAAGAGAGCCATGGAAATGTCACAGCTGGGGAGCAAAATATTTGTCGAGTGGCTGTGGATGGGACCTTTGCAGGGCAACGTGAAACCGTCCTGCAGAGAACCTCCGCAGGCCGCGATCCCCGCCAACCTCCGTACACGTCCCGTTTCCTTCTCTCTATCCCCGAATTTATCTTTCCCCTCCGCCCGGACGGTGTCACGTCGAGATGGGAAGGAGGTGGTATTCCGGACCGGGCAGGCGAAAATAAAGCGGGGCGGCAGCACGGGAGCGTCCCGAGGGTCTCCCTCTGGCCGCCCCCCGCCGCCCCCGATCAGCACGGCTCCGTGGGGTGAGGCGGCGCCGCCCTCGGCCCGGCCCGGCCCGGCCCGGTGGGGGCGGTGGGCGGCTCCCGCGGCCGCGGATAAACGGGAGCCCCTCCTGCTAGCTCCGTGTCCCCGCCGGACGGCGGCAAGGAGAGCGACGTTCCCGCGGGAACCGGGGAGAGGCTGCGGTTCGCGGCCGAGGGGCTGCGCCTGGCGGCGGGGCGGGAGCTGCGGGGCTCGGGCACCGCCTCCCGGTAGCGGCGGCCGCTCTCGCAGGGCGGCGGGAGCCCGGTCATTGTCTGCCCGGCGGCTCGGGGCTGCGCTGCCCGCCCGGCCCCCCGCCCTCGCCTTTGTGTGCGCCCGGCGTGATGCGCGCTGCGGGGCGGCGGGGGGTCCGCTCCTCCCGGTGAGAGGCGGGGAGGCGTCCAGCCTCTGCCCCGGAGGTTTTTCACCCGCAGCAGCCGGAGGAGGGGGACTATGGACTGAGCGCATCGCTGTACCATGGAGTCCGGCTTAGGCACGCTTTGCCTTCTTCTCTGCCTGGGGCCAGGTAGGCGGCGGCCGGGCGGCGGCGGGCGGTGCGGGATTCGGCCGCCGCCGGGTCCCGGCGGAAAGTTGCGGAGGCGACGGGAGGGTTAACGTCACTCTCTGGGTCAGTCGCAGGCTTCGGCGTGGACCCCTCGCTGCAGATCGACGTGTTGTCCGAGCTGGGGCTGCCGGGCTCCGCGGCGGGCGTGCGCCAGGTGCTGGGGCTGCACAACGGGAGCAAAGCTTTCCTCTTCCAAGGTACGGCCCCGTGGCTCTGGTGCACCGCTCCCCTCCTGCTGGTCCTCTGCTCCATACCCCCAGCCCCGCTTTCCCTCCTTTTCTCTGTATCTTTCCTTTTTTATTTTTCCTATTTTTTTTCCTTTTTTTTTTTTTTTTTTTTTTTTTTCCCTTCCTTTAACTGGGAGTCGCTTAATTAAAGTACAGCAGGAACGGGGATGGCAGATGGCTTGTTTTGTGAGTCGTGGGGTGCAGCGATGAATAATGGCACCACCCACTCTTCTGCTTTACTTGGGAAGCGCTGAACATCCCCCAGTTCCAGCGCAGGCAGCGCTCCCTGAAAGTTTCACGCGAATCGAGCGAAATTCTGAGCTGGAAGTGCCCCGGAGGAGAGAGGCAGATGGCTGGAAATAAAAACTGCAGCTTCACCAGGGTCAAGTGGCCCCTGTGAGCGTCAGTGCTGTACACATCGTGGGAAACAAAGGCTGAGTTTGGGCTTCTTGTAGTGCTTGTGGTTATTCTTTCTTCTGTTGGGAATAGAAATAATGAGGTGCTCTTGTTCCAGCATTCAAAATATGGTTAGGAGGTTTCTTCCAAATACTTATGCTTCCCTATATTGTAATGTGCATAGGTCTGGGAAGTAATTCTCAGTGAAAACAGGATTTATTGGCAGAGGTTATGATACCTACACTCATTCATTTTCAGTGTCCACTTTAATAATGTACTGATGCCTTAAATGAAGCTGGAGTCAAGAATGTTTTCAGGAAAAATCTCCATCTTCACGGAGGAAAAAAAAAAAAAGCTTAAAAATAGCCCCTAGGAACAAGTTTCCTCTATGAAAGATGACTAAATGCTCATGAGAAACATGGCTAAAGAAGAGCAAGGAGCACAGCTCCTGGTGGAGCAGGAGCAATCCCTGCATCAGCTGTAGTTTTAAAGCAGAGGGACTTGGTGTTGGCTCCTGGCATCACATCAGCTCATCAGCACTCATCTGCAACAATTCCTGGTGCAACAGGCAAGAGGCTGCTCCCCCTATAGAAGAGTTATAATTAAGGGGAGATAAGATCTGGAAAGGAAATTTCTTTTTCATGTTTGCATTAATGAGGTAATTTATCAGAAGCTAATAGTTGCCAAAGGCTTTCTTTTCTTTTTCTTTCTTTCGAGGCTCTCTGTAGCCCTGTCCTTCCGTGCGCAGCCAGTGTGTGTCACTGTGGACACGAATGTGGAGGTGCGTGGCTGTGCGTTCGGCAGCACCCGCATAAGCTGCTGTTACGAACGTCAGCAGTGGGCTTGCAGCTTCGGAACTGCCTTCTGTGAGAGGTGGCTGCTCAGCACGGCGATGCATTTGTGTGGTGTGTGCTGCCCATCCTAAAAGAGCCCTAATTTTTAGGGTACTGTAGGGAAGTTGAGGGCCCCTCATTCTATAGTGGGGGAACCAAAGCTCCCGATGACTTTAGCCTAGATATTATTAGAGCAGTGTAAGAGGAACTCTTCTTGTTGTGTGCATTCCAACATTAGGACAAAATCACTGTTGGTTACTGAAGAATTTTTAATAAGCTTTTTCCTCTTCTTTTTTTTCTTTTAAGTATGAGTGTACGCAGTAGGTTGCCAATTTAGTTGTGGCAAAAGCAGGCAAGAGTTTAAGTTTTCACACAAACCCCTTCTTTCCCTGAGAGGAATCAGGAGGTAAAGTGGACAAAACCTTGAGGTCTGATGGTGGCTGAAGGCACTCAGCATCCTTCAGTGCCCTGCAGGACTGAATAGAGTTCTGTTACTGCACTGAACTCTGATATCCTTATACAAAGCAGAGCCCAAACAAGGCAGATAGATGTTCTTTTTTTCTGACTTGCCTATAGAAATACAGATTTTGCCCTACTCCACCAGACCACTGGTCCATGTAGTCATTTTTTTTTCTGCTCTTGGAGCTTATGCTGTAGGAGCATTGCTGCAATGCTCACCTCTTAACATATGTATTTGTGGTGTGTGAACTGGAAATATGTTCTTGTTGACTTCATATTTATTTTTGCCTGTTTTTTTTCCATATTCCAGCTAAAGCTTTGATAACCCAAATCTTGGGGGATCTTGATCTTGGGGGGGGGAAAAAAACAAAACAAAACCAAAAAAAGGTGATACAGAGTTAGTTCATGGATGGATAATTTTAAGCTTTGACTTGTTGGTTTTTTTTTTTTTTTTTTTTGTTTCTTTCTGTGGAAAACAGATCTCTTCTTGTACAACATACATGTTAGCCTTTTTCATAGAGCATGTTCTTAACTGTTATAAAGCTTTACCTATATACTTAACACATGCTGGAAGCCTAAATGATGCTCTTTATTTTAGAAAGATTACAGAAGTGGCAGGCTGTGTTGTCAACAGGTAACTCAAAGATGCACAATGGGGATTTGCACGTTGTAAAGTTATCTAAGTGCCTGATGCTACTTGGTTGTATTGGCAGCACCAGAATGCAGTTATAATCTGCATAGCAGTGGGTATTAGATTTTATTTTTCTGTAGGAAAGTGATTTACAAAGTAATTGTGTCTTCCCATAAGCTACACTGGAACATTTTACAATTATGAATAGAAAGCAGGAGGAAGTCTTCCAAAACATTATTGTTATTGTTGTTAGGTATGAACATCTGCCAGCACTTCCTAGCCAACAGCAGATATTATGATGTCAAAGTATGTTGAGAGGAAAATGATTGCTCTTCTGGTCAGAGCACAGAAGTCAAATCTATACCATCACCTCCTCTGGTGATGACTGTTTCTGCAAGCCAGTGAAATTCTCAATACCTTCGTTTTTGCTTTGAGGAATTGGGATGGCATTCAGGATAAAGCCCAAATCAAAGGAGTGGGTAAAATGTATTTGAAGAAGGCTTTGAATTTCTTTTTGAGGATTACTAATTGTTAGTCTTTCCTTATAAATATATTACATTAATACAATTTGAGGTGATAGGTGGAGATGAATGTGAACATTGCCATTTTTCCATTCAAATACAAAGTTCATATTGCTGTAAGAGCCCTCATTGCATATTCAAGTCTTGCATGCACACTTGAAGAGGTGCAGGCATCAGCAACAAAGGGTTTTGGATGTGTCAGACATGTTTGGCCTTGGTGTTGTCTGGCTTGAGCATCGGTGTGACCTCCAGCACGTGCCAAGTCTCAGTGACACTGAGTGCTACAACTTGCAATAGGAAATAGTGCTATCAGATGTGAGAATCTAACTATGGGCAGGTACCTAGGTCTCCTTCTGGCTCTCTGCTTTGTGATTTTCCCTCCTCTCTTTAGACTCTGTGTTGTTATGATGTTTTGGCAATGCTTCTGGTCCACTGGAACCAGCTGGTTTACAGTTGAGAGTCAGTACTATACATTGGACTCTTGTTGTCTCATGCAGTACTGGGTAGAAAAAGACATCTTTCTACCACCACCATCAGGAGCAACAGAAGGTAGAGAAGGTACACAGTAAATCAAGTGAAAATAGGCACAAAAAGTGAAAATGGGAGCAAAGCAATGTATGAAAAGAATATATGCACATCAAAGGTGTATGTGCTCCTCAGAGAAGCGTGGGCAGAACAGTGCAGTCAGATGGTTACAAGCACAGGAACATTTATTTAAGGAAAATGTAAAAAGGGCATGATGGTCATGAAAATCTGGGAGCTTGCGTATTCGAATGCGTAGCTCAGAAATCATTCAAAAGATGTGATTTTTCTTTACTAGTCAGGTTATAGAACTATTGATACAGTTACAAGCACTGTTTAGATATTTCTGATGAGGAGGGACAGTCCTAGAGGCAACATATTGTGGATTATAATGTGCTTTAAAACACTGAAAGAATGATTTAATCTGTCAGAGTGGTGCATGGAAGGACTCAGTGCTGCTGGTGTTTGAATTGGGTCTTGCTGGTACAAGCAGCTGATGAAGTGAGAAGTGCAACACTAAAATGCACCTCCTCATGGTGTAAATGATTTTAGATATTGCTGCATGACTCAATCATTAGCCCACTCTGAAAATGACAGCAAGACATTATTGTTAGGTATAAATATGCCTTATGTATTTCTGGAAATATCACTGTGTTCTGGCCTGTACTACCATCTCTGAATGTTGCTAAATGAAAGAGCTAAAAATAAAGCTTTAAAGCAAGATGTCAGTAAACTTTCTCTCATTATAGAAATAGGGTTGGGGTTAGCTATGCACTTCACACACTCTTTTTCCTTGCCACCTGTCGTTGAAAACATGGACAGATGCTCTTTTCTGGTTCCAGCTGAGCCTACTGAAAATATTACTGTTCCCAGCTGCTTTCTGCTGCCCAGGAGCCAGAGGTTACTGTCCCCACAACTTTCCCTATGCGAGAGATCATATGAGCATCCCCTAATCTGCTGATGGCAGAGTCAGCCATCTTCAGCAGCTAGCCTGGCTGGCTACAGTGACATGGATTAGATTCCCTTGCAAAACCCTGTCTCCAGCTGTCCCAGAGACCTGAATCATCTCCCAGAGGAGCCTGAACAGAGCTGGGGGAGGGAGTGCTTCTGCTGGCAGTTGGCACGGCTCACTGCAGTGAGTACCTGCCTGCAGCTCTCCTGTCTTGGAGCAATCTGGTTTCTTTCCCAGAATCATTGAACCCTCGAAATGTGGGACCTCCAGATGAGGATTATCTGTAGATAATTAAAATTCCCAGCATGTCTTGAAGAGACAAAGAAAGCCCCTCAGCACTTAGTTTTGGTTACAGCTGAGATAATACATTTTCATTTTAGTAAGTGGTGGAGTTTCTTTCAATATCTGATGTAAGCAGTTACTCTCTGACAACTCAGTAGCCAGAGAGATACAGCTGTGTTTTGGTGTAGCTGGAACAACAGGATATGCTGTCCCACTGCTGCCCTCTGTCCCCTTCCAGCTTTTGTGTGTGCCCAAGTCACCTCTGCAGCTCTTTGCTGCTGTGCAAGCAGTAACTATTGTGGGCTGGCACTGCCAAGGCTGTGGTCAACTGTGCTGTGAGGTTGGGGGGGTGTCATGGAGGGAGCCCTGGAAAG